ATATAGAACTCAAATTACATTAATTTAAATAATTTGTTCAACTGGTGAAGAAGACATCTACAAAAATTTGGGTCAGACAAATACCCTTAAGGCCTACATCCAGTGGTTTAAAAATCGACGCGTCGACCCGGAATCTCCCGGGTCGACACGAGAATCAGCTTGCCCGTGCCAATTCCTACGCAATATCGGAAACCGGGCGAGTGTAGAGAGGAATCACCGATTCCTGCCGATTTACAACAGTAAATCGGTAAAATATCCCCACTTCTCAATAGTAGACTCGCCAGGTTCTCTAGTGAGCAGACACGTGGCAGGCCCACCTCACGCGTGCCAAGCCACAATAACGTGTGACACATCGCCCCCGTGCCTCTACATGCACGATATAAATCTATTGCATTCTTATTTATAGAGCTTCTTAGTGCTCACGCCCTTCGATGTGGGAGAAAATTAGAGTTGCGTAGCTAATAGAATGTATATATTTATTATAGCATCGAAAGCATAATGTGACGAATTGGTGGAGGAGGTTAGCTCTACGGATTTTGGCCCTCGCTTCCCACCATCAATTCCTCCCATCCGCAATTCAAGATTATCACCCACTGTGCCCCTTTGGAGCTTTATTTTTATTTTTAAAAAACGTAAAAGAAAAAAAATCATGTTGTTAAAAAATAAAAGGAAAAAAATAAAAAATAGAAGAAAAAAAATCATGTTGTAAAAAAATAAAAGAAAAAAAATAAAAAAATAGAAGGTAATACAAGAAGCATTTTTGGTAAAAAAAAAATAATACATCTCTTTATTTTTCTTGTCAAAAAAAAAGTAATATAACGTATTTCTCGTCAAAAATAAAATAAAAGTTAATACAAAAAAAAAAAAATGTAGTACAACATCTTCTTAATTTTTTTGTCAAAAAATAAAATAAAAAGTAATACAAGTATCATATTTTTCTTAGCAAAAAAAAAAGGGTAATAAAACAAATATTTATTGTCAAATAAAATAAAAGATATTTATAAATACAACAAGTATTTCTTAATACACCCTAGGAATAAATGATATAATATTATAGATAGTTAGGTTCTAACAATATCCGTTTTTTAAACCACAGGTTTATTCCATTTGAAATCTCTCTCTTTCTACTAACAATCTCTTTTACTAAATTTATTCTAGAAATCTAAAAATTTAAAATTTTGAATAATTAAACTGTTATTTTGAAAATTGGTACACATTTTAATAAATTCTATATTGATAATCAAATCTTTTATTTTATTTATTAATTTTTGCATTATAAATCATGTAATGTACTATTTTTCTTACCGTTGTCAATAATACATTTTAAATTTAATGATATTATAAAATATTTTGGATTTGTTATTATTTGTATAATAAAATAATTATAAAATGTAAACCAACAATTTTAATTTCAGTATATAATATTATAGTTAGTTAAGTTGTAATAATTCGGGTTTTTTTAACGGATTAGGGTTCCGCCACTTCAAGATTTTAGTGGCCATTTTTTTATTGATTTAGTCTACTCTTTATTGTAGTCCATGTACGATTATATACTTCGTCCATGATAATTCTATGATTTTTCTCTTGTGTGATGTAAATTTAATAGTTAACAGAAGTTTATACAGGGAATGAACATCTCAATATTCTCACAAATTGACGAAAAAAATGAAAGTTAACAATGTAGTACCCTCATTTCTAATTGGATTCCAAAAAGACAACATTTATAATGAATTTTAATAATTTTTTTGGATTTGTTTTAAAGCTTAATCCAACCGAGTAGGTCGATTCTCGATCCGGATCGTCGATTCACCGATCCGAATGGGTTTTTGGAGTGCCCGATCCGGGTCACCGATCCTTTTTTTAAACCACTGCCTACATCTAATGTCTATTTTTCTTTCCTGAAATGGAGAACTTGTATTTGTTTCATTTACTCTCTCCAAAAAAAAGGAACAATTTTTTTGGGGGTTTTTTAGGACCTGTTTTATGAGCTTTTTTGACTGGATGAATATGACCAGCCTACAAAATTTGGAGTCAAATAAAAATCCCCCTATATAGGTTCTTTCCCTTGGCCATGAGCTAATGAAGTAGAACCCGATGGAACAAGACAAGTATTCCCCTTATATACTTGGTGAGTGGTGCACATGCACATTCACACATAGGAAATAGGTCCATATTACTTAAGCCAGCCCCAATTAATTGGGTAAGGGCTATGATGATGATGATGATGTCCATATTATTTAAGTGGGTGGACCCACATTGAATCCACCACTTCTGATTGAGCGATGGATACTTTTAATAAGAGACAAGGGTGTCCCTGAAATGCGTGTCATGGTACTTTACAAATATAAATACCCTTGTATTTTATGACAAATATCATTCATACTCATACCCTAATAAATTTAAAAAATATCCTTCAAAAGTGATACAATAAAAGTTCCTCCAGTTTCTATCATTGGCTTTTTCTACATTTTTGCTATGCTAACACTAGGAAATCCATTCATATGAAACTATAAATAATAAAGCTGAATGATGTTCATTGTCTGACCTGCGTAGTAAGTGATATAATAAAATCATCAGGCTCTTCTGCATCTTGATCATCCAAATATTCTCGACTTGTCATTTCCTACATAATTTAGTGACTATCATGCCACTTGCATGCGATTGTCAAGGAATTCCTCTGAAAGCAGTACCCAATGCATTCCAAATAAGAACTTAAAAACTATATCAATTACTCAGGAATTATAACAAACCTGGAAATGAAAAATGGTCTCCAATTGCATCTCTATGCGTAGGACCTTCAAACATTCAACAGCCAAGCTCCGATATTCATCAGCAAGGCTTGCAAGGTTTCGAGTAAGAGCGCTACTAGTTCGAGTATGGTGGCGTACTTGATGGCCTACATTTTCGTCATCTTGCGAGGGTGACTTGGGAGATGCTTGCCCAAGCCTAAAATGTTAAAAGGAACAAAGCAGTTATCTAGCAGTTACACTGGCTGAATTAAGAACTTATTTGCATTACAGGAAGAAAGAACTTTAAGGCAAATGGTCCACTAGGATCAATAATACATTTTAGTTCATAGTTGTCCTCAAAGTGCATATTACTAATTGATGATCAGGCTCTGACAGACTAGCAACGGAAATGCTGATGACATACTTAAAAGGAAAGCTCAAACTACAAATGTTTGAAAGAGAGAAAAGTTCTTTTTCGCCCGGGGGTGGGAGGGGGAAAGGTTTACATAAAGTCAGATACACATAGACAAGGCAAACGGAATTAGTCGACATATATTTTACCTACAACTACAACTTCAGTTGAAATGGCCCATATGATGACAGTTAAGCATCCTAGCAATTGTATAATTGCTCATTTTTAATTATTAAATGACATACATAACCAGTATTGTAAGTAAGTGTATAGTACATGATTATGGAATTTTTTTTCCAAAGAACAGAATGCTAATCATGGAACAAGCCAGAGAGCAAAGGAGAGCAGATAAACCCAAGTGGAGTGCTAATAATGCCAAAAAAATATGCTCCTGGAAGTGCTTCCCAAACGACATTTAAAAGAGGAAAAATATTCCCCAACTATATATCTTTGGAGTGGCCATCCAAGAAGAATATCACAACATAAATGGTTCAATAAGTATTTTAAAAGCCCGCCAATCCTAAAAGCAAATGACAATAACATATTTTGAGAACACCTAAGCATGTTTCTCATATATTGGATGAATGTTAAGCATCCTGGAGGAATCTCTTCCCTCCATGTGCTTAGGTAATCCTATCTTTAGTGCTGTTTCTCATATCTTGGACGAATGCTAAGCTTCTTGGAGGAATCTCTTCCCACCATGTGCTTAGGTAATCCTATATTTAGTGACATCCAGAAAGCTTGTCAGTATCTATGCCTTATTCAAAAACTCAAAGGTTGAATACCAGGATAGAAGAGGAAACTGCAGTCATTTTGTCAACAGTCTCAGTTTATATACCCAGTTCTTATTGAAACCACCAATCAGATGAAATAAGGTTTGCAAAGCAACTGGCAATGAAGGTATTGAGCCAAGTTCGAGTTCTAAACAGAGATTTCAAAACAAGAGATGCTCACGTCCAAACTCATTTGACAAAAATATATTTCCAATGGAAGGCCAACCATGGTTGTTGGAAGTGGGTGAATTCCTGGAGTGTTTTAGGAATTGGAAGATAGGAATCTCAAGAAGCCTCCAGTGGTGGGATGTGCCATCTGTATAATGCATATCTGGAATCGAGATTCCTATCTTTTGGAGCCACGCTCCCAATCACTTGGAACTGCACAAGTAATTATTGAGGAATGGGTTCCATAAGGCAAAACATTTGTGGTTCTAGAGTGTCCTTAACCAAGAATATGCTAGTATTGGAATTGATATATTGAGCATGCTTAGCCAAGGTTCGCCTAGTACTAGAATTGAGGTCCACGACTACCCAAATCAAGGGCTCCCTTAGCATTAGAATTGATATCTTGAGTGCCCTTAATCACAGTTACCCACAAGTGGGATCAAGGTCACTAAGTGCCGTCAACCAGAGTTCCGTAAGTACAAGAGTTAAGGTTTGTATTCTAGATTGAATAGAGAGTCAAATTATTTGATTTATTAAATTGTTTTTTTTTTAAGACATTTATTTTGGGTTCCAACGTTCAGGAATGATGCTAAATAGGGTTTCTAGACACCCACCCTGATGTTAAGTAGAGTTTCTAGACACCCATCCTCGTTACATAAAGAAAGTACATAATTAATAGTAAATTTTAGAGAGCAGAATGCCCCAAATAATGTCTGAAAAATTGCAAGTATTCCATAATACTTTTGCAATCATTCTACCACTAGCAAATAATGTAGTTTACTTTGAAGCATGACTTGTTAAAGCGTGTTAGTGTGGTCCACTACAGAATTCGTGCTTGGATTCCAAATAACTTAGATAGATATTCCTAAAAAGTGGAAGGGAGATTCTATGTTGATCGAATCATGACTTGGTGCACCTATGAACCCTGTGAGTTGATGTTGTGGAATCTGGATTCCAAATAACTCGGTTCGAGATCCCTAAAAGGTGGAAGCAAGATTCCTAGATTTTAAAAACCGGATTCGATGAAGAGTGGTTGATCGAAGTTCTCGGGACTCTTCTAGAACACCTACCCATAGAGAGAGAATTGATACTATGGCTAAATGAGGAGAACTTCTCGCCCATTTGAAGGAGATTGATGCCAAGACTTGATGAGGACGATTCTCTGCCATTGGAGGAGAATTGCTGCTAAGACTTGATGGAAATAAAAACTGCTAAGAAGCATAATTTAAAGCTTATCTATTGTTTCACTAAATTCGCAAGGGGTTTAAGCCGTCGCCACCATGGTATTAATTGGTGAAAATAGAATATACAATAGATAAGAGCTACATTACTCTCACTATATACTCTCTCACTTTTCTATGCACATAATGTCCTCTATTCATGATCCATGAATCACTCAAGAAGGCTTTGAAATCCGATACCCCATCTTCTATACATGTTTCTTTCATTGTTATCATTTAGTGGGACGAATATACTTTCTGAGATGCTATTCATTATCTTCTAAGTTACATTCTTTACAATTTGCTTACAGTCCCCTTTAGCTCCCAGGTTTCTTTCTTGCCAAATAACCCATACAATGGTGGGAAGTGAGACATTCCAAATCTTGGCCATATATTTCTTTGTGAATCTTCTTTAAACCAATTTGTTAGGAGATTAGGGATACTTAAGAACACCATAGTATTGCTCTTTTGGTGTTGAACCTCAACAATAATGCTCTGTATGTGTTCCTCACAGATGTGAATGAAATAAAGGTGATCATGATTCTCATAACCAACTTTACACAAGTGGCATATAGACCCTATCAGTTCTGACTAACATCTTTTGGTTGGTTAGCCAGGGGAACCATGAGGCCCTAGGATGAATTGGTTTTTTCCATATGGCCATTAGGGTATTGTTTTTCGGTCCTTGTGTGATTATTATTTTGTAAGCACCATCGGAGGTGAAGTCACCATTATTATTGATAACCAAAGTGAATCTATCATCAACTTCATCATGCCTAAGGGAAAATGACCCTGTCTCATTATAAATAGGAGGCTTTCATGTATGCCCTTCCAACCCCAAGAGTCCCTTCTTTTTGCATTGGAAGTTTCTTCGGAGGTCCTTGTATGATGTCTCTAAAGGTATTCTGTCTTTATCAATTCCAGCCACATTGAGTGATTTTCATTTGACAATTCCCATCCAAGCATTGCTAGTAAGGACACATTGATGTCTTTAATACTTTTGATACCAAGTCCACCTTCACTCTTAGGTTTACAAATGGTGCTCTTAACAAGGTTTGGGCATCTTACAACATAAAAAAAAACCAAGGTTTGAGCATCTTTGGTTTTGTTAGTTGCCCCAAAGAAAGTTCCTTTGTAGCTTCTCTAGGTTGCAGATGGCGGTTGAAGGTATGAAAGTTAAACACCAATGATTTGTGAGTTAGGTGAGGCATGAACTTATAATCATCGTCAAAGCCTTTTCCCATCTAATTGGAGTTGGGTACACAAATCCTGGTCCGTCATTCTACTGTATTAAGGGTCATACCCTCAGCAAGGCCATAAGTCCCCATATCTTTTCTCACTACTTTCAACTATGTCCTTTTGGGTCTACCACTTACCCTTTTTGAGCCTTCCACTTGAACTAACTCGCACCTCCTAACAAGTGTTGTACTAGGTCTACGCCACACATGGCTAGCCCACCTAAGCCTACTCTCTCTCATCTTATCACCTATTTGTGCCACACCTAAATTTTTCCGAATGTATTCATTTCGAATTCTTTCCCTTCTTGTCTCGCCACTCATCCATCTCAACCATCCTCATCTCCATTATACTCATTCTATGGGTATATTATTTTTTGACTGCCCAATATTCCGCCTCATAAAGCAAAGCTGGTCTCACAACTGCCTTAGAGAACTTTCCCTTCAGCTTCATTGGTATGCGGCGATCACATAAAATTCTAGTTGCACAACTCCACTTCGCCCGCCCAGCTCTAATTCTATGTGCGACATCTTCTCCAGTCTCTCCATTTTGCTGGATTATCGACCCAAGAACTGATAAGAGTAATTCTTCTAGGTTCAGATAGTATTTCTAGTTTCCAACCTTGAAGTTTGGACATCATTTTCTCTACAAGTTTATGGCAAAGTTTTGGGTTGAGTATCCCTTAGAATAGTGGACAGCTTCGATAAGTTGAGGGTAGTTTTGATAAGTTACAATTTAGGAATTGGCTAATTTGGGATTGATCAAAATTGTTGGAACTAAAGAAGAACATATGTTTTTGCAAAGTCTTTTGTAAACTGGTCAAGGACAGGAAGCGATAAAGGGTGCATTTTAGAGAGTGACAGGATTTTCTTTTGCTAGAGCTAGAGAGTGACAAGATTGATAGTTGGTATTCCAAAACACAAGTAGATCATCGGTGTAAAGTAGTTGGGAGGGTGTAGTTGGAAATCTAAGGATCCTAAGTGGTCAAAATCTCACTTTTAGCTTCACTTTTTGAATGAGTTTGCTAAAACATTCCATGGATATGATGAAGAGGTATGAGAGAAGAGGTCCCCTTGTCTAAGCCCATTTTTTACCATTAAAGTATCCAAAAGGCCTACAATTTAAAAAACCAGGAATACCTAAAGGTGGTGATGCATATTTTACCCAATTTATGAATTTCTCCCCAAATCGATATCTTTGGAGTTCATTCATTAGAAATTCCAAGCTAACCCTATCGTATTAAGGTCAATTTTTTGGCAAAATGTGCTCTCCTATTTGTTTTTAGCCATGCTAGAGATGAGCTCATGGCAATTAAGGCTTGCATAAAGATACTACTGTTGTGGAGAAAAGCCTGTTTATTTTATTTCATTTTTTTTTGGGGGTGGGGGGGCGGGGGGGTTGTGGGGGGGCTAAGGTGATGAAGGTTGAATTGAGGGATTGCATAATGGAATAATGGATTCTCTTGAAGGCTTCTTTTATGACTTAAGAGAGATTTCTAGGCCAACATGTGCCAAAACGTTTGGAATAACATGGGCTGTTTTATTTTTTTATTATTTCGTTTTTGGGATTTTTGGGGGCGGCAGGGGGGACCATCAAGTCCTGGCGACTTATTGGACCTTAGACTTATATTTTGCTTCCTTCAAAAGTTACATCCCTTTAGAGGAGCAAGTTTTCTTTCTTAGAGATTTGAGAATCACAAGGGGTTTTAGATTAGAGGGAAATAGGTTGCACCAAGTTTTTAATAAACGGATCGGTGGCCCGGATCAAGCACCTCAAAACCGTGTCAAGTCGGTGGATCAGCGATCCTGATCGGAGGATCGACCAGATTGGCAAGGTTTGGCATTAAAAAAATTTCAAAAAATCACTAGAATTTCTTAAAAATCTAGTTTTTTTAGGTTTCCAAAAACAATAATGGTTTTTTTTTTTAGAAAGGTTAACTTTATAATAATATTGTACAAATAATTTTATACAATATATTGAGAATGGTTAACTTTTTTGAGAAAGATAAACTTTTTGAGAAGGTTTCCAAAAACGATAATGGTAGTGCAATATAATTTTCATTATTTTACTACAAACACATAAATACTATGAACTTGTCTCATGTCTGAGTGTTTTCTATCTATTACATTCATTTCATGGTCAAATAAAGATTTAAAATGAAACTCATTGCAATAAAAAGGATTATGTTAGGTGTACGATAATCCCTTTGGAAAGTTTGTCAAATAAAGACTTAACCTTGTAAAGTGAATTCTTTAATTAAGTCTTAATTTTCGAAAAGTTTGTCCCAAAGTTTTTCTAAATAAAGACTTTATGAGATTTTGACAAATAATTCATTGTCAAATAGAGACTTGACATAATCTCTTTAGTAAATTTGTCCCAATGTTTTTTCATCTTGTAAAGTAAAGAAGTGGGAGAAATTGTCCCACCTCGAGGAGTTTAAGGAGCGAGAGGCTCTATAAAGAGCTTAAGGCCCATGCTCTCAATCTTTCTTGAGTTGTACGCTTGCTACGCATGCATGAGTTGTTAGGGCTAATTAATACTTGGCGCCCACTTTAAAAATTATATAATATAACATGGGGTGGGCTGCCACCTCTCTTTTTAAAAAGAAAAAATGCATACAAAAATTCCCCCCTTCAAATCATATTTAAAAAGTGCAAATACACCCCACATCAAACTAGCTCAAGATAGAACCGGTCGTAGAATCCGCTGGTTCTTAATAGAGCTGATTGTATCTATCAGAGAGCCGACCAGTTTAGGGGGAGACCCAGCCGGATCCCAATATTTGGTGGGAACCGGACCGGCTTCAACGATTCTTGATCGAGATGGGGCGATTTGGATCTAGATTGGCGATTTTTTAAAAACATGGGTTGTACAATACCAAGGAGTTTACCATAGCAATTTGTGGTTTTTGGACAATATCCCCATTGTCATTGGTGGTTGAGTATCTTATTTCGTAACCTTAGACATTCTAGAATGTCACCATCTAGTAATGGTTTACGGGAAAAGGAATTTGGTATAAGAATCCCCATGGGTTAGTAATTAATTTATTGAAAATGCCTTTTGAATGTGTTAGTAATTAATTTATTGGGAACCAACAAATAATAATTATAAAAAAGCTTTCTAGACGTAACATTAATTATTAATTTACTGGGACACCAAAAAAATAGTATGAATTCATAATTATTAATTTATCGAAAATGCCTTTTCAATGTGATATTAATTAATTTATTGGAAACCCAAAAAAGAATAACTACAAAAACGTTTTTGCCATGTAATATTAATTATTAATTTATTGAAAAACCAAAAAAATAGTATTAATTTGTAATTTCTAATTTATCAAAAATTCCTTTTGCATATAATAATTATTAATTTGTTGGTAAAACGAAAAAAACAGCATTAATTTTTAATTATTAATTTATCAAAATGCTTTTTTCATGTAACAATAATTACTTATTTATTGGTAAATCAAAAGATAGTATTAATTCGTAATTATTAATTTATTGAAAATATTTTTGCATGTGATAGTAATTAATTTACTGATAAACCAAAAAAAATAAACTAATTCGTAATTATTATTATATAGCATATACAATAAATGGGGGCATGTGTGGGGGATCCAACTTAATAAAAAATTAAAAATGAAAAAAAAAATTAAAAAAGCCGCCTTTGGGTCTGGGCACCTGCCTTAGCGCCTAGGCGGGCCAAACCCCCCACCACCTAGGCGGCTGCCTCCACCTTCTTGAACATTGGTTAGACATTTAGTTCAAGGTTTGTTGGATGGGACTCAAGTTGTTCTTGTTTCCTTAATTTTTGTTCTAATTGCATGACTACAAGATGAACAAAACTAAAGGTCTCAAAGTTTCACTTGTTTAGGGCTTTCTTAATATTTGTAAGTTTGAACCCTAAAGATCGCACAACCTTTTATTATTTCATCCCAACACTTTTTGAGCACATCCTAGCATTCTTTATGCTTGAACCACATATTGAAACTTTTAAAAGGTTTAGAACCCCAATCTATAACTGTTCTATCCGTAATTGTTTGAGGTTGTGGTCCGAGTTTTGTTTAGGAAGGTGCTTGATTTGCGAATTAGGAAAACAATTGAGCCATTGGCTAGAAATATCCAGCTTTTTACAGATAGAGGCTCTTCCAAGCTGATCGGTTCTCCATGAATACTTGTAAGAGTGTTTCCCAAATCTAAAAGATGACAATCGTGAATCATATCCAAGAATTCTATTCTATTAGTCCCCCACAACTAGCCATGTACGGGAGTTAGTACTAGCTGCGAGATTCAAGAGTTCCAAACATAGGACCCTACAAGTGATGGGGTATTGAAAACATAGATCGCAATTTCCAGGAACATTATTTGTAGTAGAATCCATAGTTTTAAGTCTATGTTCAGCCCTTGGTTCAAGTCATATTTATTTGGCAGTGAAAAGGAAAAATCCTAGGTTGTATTTAGGGTTTTAGTTCTTATATACAGCAATTTTTTGTTGCATTTGTAAGTGATGCCAGTGGAATTCAGATATATTAATAAAATAAAAGATAAAATTTTTTATTTTCTTCCTTGAATTTCACATAGCAACTTCTTTCATCAAGGACAAAGATTGCAAATTATTCAGAGAGAGAGGGAGAGAGTCCTAGCAAGCCATAAACATAACTAGTATTTCACTTGCTGTTATGATGCACATCATTCGATGAGGGGATTTAGACTGAATGAAAGACAGAGAAACCACAAACAGAATTTTGTAGCATGCTCATCACGTTAAGTAGTATGACAAACAGAATTTTGTAGCATCCTCATCACGTTAAGTAGTATGACATAAACAGAATTTTGTAGCATCCTCATCACGTTAAGTAGCATGCAAGTTCAACACAAGTGCTTGTTAATAGTTGATAGGATGGTTATAAGATGATTCCAATAATCTTTCTACAAACAAATGCAAAATCTGTACAAAGCGATAATATATATTTCAAATCAACAAATAAAACTTGCCTTTCAATGGAATCTGCCACGTATTCCAAAGAATCACTGAGAGCTGCTAGTAAAATGAGTTTTTGGTCATCTCTAATAAGATTCTCCTGCTCCAGGATTATCATGATAGGTAGAGTGAATTAGTACCCAAGCAACCAACCGACAGTGAAATATGGTTATAATATATAATGTGCAGAATCTAAAATACAACTTCACAAGGGATTCAGTCTTGGGATGTCATGTTAATGCCTTTCACTCAATTCAAAAAGGAAACTTGACCCATACAGGAACTCAAGAAAAGCACTACGTTAGGGTTGGCAGTTTTCCTGGTAAAAAAATCTTCAAATACAAAATATGACCTGCTTGATTGGTCGTAAACTTAGCAACAGGTCACTCATTTCCATCTCAATTTCAGATGTTTCAGGAACAGGACTTCCATGATCGAGGGATGCTTGGATGAAAGAATTCGGCAAACATGAACTAGCTGACTCCAATTTCATTAAGCTCTCAACATCTTGCCTTCCAATCAGCATATAGCTTTGTTTCTCTAAAACTGCCTGGGAATTTGAAATGAAGAGAACGTATCACATAATATCAAAATCTCGAGAAAAAAAAATAGCTCATCCCATAGCCAAATTTTGCCCTCAAAATCTATGCAACATATACAAATAGAAAATGCAACTATTAGTTCGTTTGAGAAGTTCACAAAAATTATTTTTTGTCACTAATAAGGAAACAATATAAACAGAATAACAAAACAATTCAAATGGAAATTTTCAAATAACCTATAAAAGGCAATAAATAACTCATACTAACATCGATGCTGAAGAAAGTAAATATTTAGAAATCTCATACTAATAAACCTCTACAACAACTAATGTAATCACATCAAGTGATTTGGGGATCGACCCCACACCTTGTTTTCCTCTTTCATCACACTTCTGCTCTGTAACTTGGTAGCACTAATGTAATGTCAAAAAAAAAGTATGGAAGCAGTAATTTCTATCTCCTCTTATCCACGCTCTCCTATTTTATATTCCTCCTCTTTACATCTCTCCTTACCTCTTTTCCTCAGCCCCCTCTTACTACACTCCATTCCTCTTTGCTCACCCTAAACCTCTTCTATATCTTCTTCTCCCCCCAATATTCCTTTCTTCCTGTTATGCTTTTCTTCTCCTTTCTCTCTCTAGCATTGATCTGGCAACCATCCCTTGCTTGAAGGCTGCTCAGATCCTCAGGTTTTTGCATTCTCAAATTCACTTCACTTTCTTGAGCTAACAGTTAGCACAAACTATCAAATCCCCTATACTTCCCCCTCAGCTTTCTGCCTCCTCCAACTTCTCTTTCTGTCTCTTCTCCTACTTCTACCCCTTATCTTTCCTCCACCTCCTCCTCTCTTCTTTTCTCCTTATCACTCCCCTACATTTTTCCCGTAGCTGTCCTATTGTTTGAAATTCTGCACAATATACCCTCTCCCCCTCCCCTCCTCCTCACCTCCCCCCCCCCTTCCCTTCTCCCTTTCTACCTTTCTCGTCCCCCTTCTCCTTTCTACCTTGCCCCTCATCCTTCTCTTTCTTTTGCACCCCTCTCTTCTTGTTCCACCTTCCTCTCTCAATAATTCCTTCAATCTCTCCAGCTTTCGCATGTTTTTTTACAGGAGCCTCTCTACTAACTGCTATTTTTTTGAGATGATCTGCTAGATTTTCTTGTAAGGGACTCTGCAATTGCCTATTATGTTTTTGTATAGAGCTCCTGATTTGTAGCATTTTCAATTAATATGCATTACTTATATATTACTTAATACATTCAAATATTCTCTCAAATAACTAACGTAATTATACCAGAAACAGAAATTTTAGAATTGGAAGACGAAAATGTGGATGATTGTCACAATTTCAAGGCATGTGATTAACATCTAATCATGCTGCTCATGGTTTCAGTGAAGGGCTTTTGGTGAAGTGGACAATGGCACTACCTCTCATGGTTGTTCTCTCACTTATGTACTTATCTATATGTGTGACTTCTCTCCAAGGGTTAAATAAATGCCTCTACAACACCAGTCTACAGGTGATGAGTGTAATTAAAACGAGTACAAAAGGTCAACTTGTGAAGGATATTTTGTCAGTTTTTCATTACTTAACGTGATTCAGTGCCTATTATATGTAGAGTGGGCATAGGTGAATGTATAACTTGAGTTGAAAATATAAATAAGCTCAAGGGAAGGTATCATGCCTAAACTGTGTATAACACATTTAAGTTGGGTGAGGAAACTACTAATAAATTTTATTTCTACAAAACTGAATAAACTATAAGTAAGGGATCCAAAAACTCTTTTTTTTTCATATTCATAGATCTCGATGTCGCGAAGATAGATTTTTGAGGTGCATCTGTGATTCTATATTTTAAGGTTGTAACGTTATATAAACTTTTCCCCATATAAGTAATGCTCCTCAAAAAACTAGCTCTCTCTTTCATGATTGTCATCTTTTTATCCAGGGGTTTCTTGGAAGACACTTGATTTAGAAGATCAAGTATACGTCCAGTGGTGTTAACTTTCTCTTCAAAAAAAAAGGTATACGTTCAGTGGTGCCATTTAATGGCATAAGACTCAATTGGTTGCTAAATGCTCTGATAAGTAGCATAGTGTGGATTTTTTTGTGGACTTTAATTCAGCACATTGCACTCTAGAAGTGGAAAACTTACTCTTCATTCCCATATTTGTGGTGTTATTTTAAATTGTCACAATTCACATCATCTCTATAATTTGACTCACCATCTCAAAAATTAATTCAATACAAAGGGACCTCTTCACTATTTCTGGGCATAGAATGGCTATACTTCTAAGGCTTATTCTTCAAATTTAATTATGCTTTGGAGCAGTTATCCTTAATGCCTGCCACAAACCAGATTGCTTGTCATTTGAGCTTCATCACGAGCTGCTTTATAATGTTGGACAAACATATATTCAATCATTCTCCCACTTAAAACGTCATGTGATGGTTTGCTTTTCTGGTAACTAACAAATCACTAATTCAAGTGAACACTAACCTGCATAAAAGGGTTTGGACGGCCTAAAGAACATACATCAGTTAAGATGAGAGAGAGACAGAAAGATTAAAAATAAAAGAATTAGAGATAAAGGAACCAAAAAATGCTGCAATGTTGGACAGACGGAGGCTACAATATGAGGAAAGCTACAAACGATGAAAACCATGTTAAAAACATAGCATCATGAGGTTTTTGGTGATGTTAAAAAGAAAAAGAGAGGAAATTCAAGATCCGGACAAAAACAGGGACTCATTCCCTTATCAATAGAAGAAAGGACCTCTTGACCATCCTTGAAATGAAAATGTTACCAAGTTATGGTGCGAAAAAAAGAGACCAAATGGCATTAGAGATAAGACTGCTTTCACAAGATTGCGAATGTAAGACAATAAACTAATCAAATCAAAAGTATTTAAGTGAACCATAATTGGGTGGAGCAGAAGCCAGAGGATAGTAAGGACATAGTAGACTTCTATAGGGAGTGATATGAAGAAGATGGAGATGGAAAACCACTAAGTGATAATTTGGGCATTGGTAGAATACCTGTTGCTCCTATCGAGGGTTCACAAAAGAGGAAATTCACAGTGTCTTATTTTCTTTGGGAAAGTATAGAGCACCTGACTTAACAGTTTCAACATGGCATGAACTCAAGATAATTGGGAAAAATTTGAAAATGACCTACTGGATATGTTCTCCAAATTTCACCAGCAAGGTACTCTAGAAAGTGTACTAAATGCTACTTCTACACTGAAGGTGGAGGATGTCAATGATGTAAGAGGTTTCAGACCTATTAGCTTGGTAAACAGTGTATACAAGATATTCATGAAGGTCCTTGCCTCAAAACTACTAAGCTCACAGAGTTTTGTAATCTCACCCTTTTAGAGTGCTTTCGTGAGGGGAAGACAAATATTTTATCGGGGCATTGGTGGCTAATGGGTGCATTTCATCAAGATATAGGAAAAGTAATCCGAGCCTAGTTTTGTAGCTTGATTTGGAGAAGGACTATGACTGTGGATTGAATATCCCATTCTCTGTGATGCATCTAATAGGTTTCGATACAAGGTGTATCACATGGTTCAAAGAATGTGTGTCAACAGCACATTTTTCTTTACTTGTTAATGCCTCTCCCAAAGGCTTTGTCAAAAGTTCCAGAGGCTTAGACAAGAGACCTTCTTTCCCCCATACTTTCTGCCATTATGGCATTAGTTGCTTCCCCAAAGGCTTTCTCAAAACTTCTAGAGGCTTACACAAGGAGACCTTTCCCCATTGCTGTCTGCTATTATGGCTAGAATTGTGAGTCTTTGCATTTCCTGCTCAATTGGACTTCTAGAAGGCTTTAATGTGAGCATGAATGGCCCTTTAGTATCACATCTTCAATATGCAAATGACACAATCTATGTATTGTGGGGCTACCATGGAGCAAATGGAAAAGCCTCATGCTTCATATTTTTGTGATTATAACAGGTCAAAGAGTCAACAAGGGGAAGATTGCCTCGCTTGGGATGCATATTTTAGAAGAGAGTTTGGAACAATTAGAGGCTGTGCCAGGGTGCAAGATGAAGAAGGTTTTGTGTAGATATTTCGGTCTATGTCAGTATAGAGGTACAAACAACAAAAGTATATGGAACCGAATGATTGAAAGAATGGAAAACAGGCTGATCCCTGGGGAAAAAAAATTAAGACGGCTGTACACTGACATTTAGGCAACATTGAGCTCTACTAATATTTACAATATATCTCTCCTTCAAGCACCATGTTTAGTAGTAGAAAAGTAAGAAAAAAAACAAAGGTAAGAAAAAAAACAAAGGTAATTTATATGGCAATGGAATAGCAACACATGCAACGTTCATCTGGTCAAGACCTTTGTTGGCCAAAGCAAGCAGGTGTTCTTTGAAACCAATGAAGAGGCATGCTGGGAAAATAGTATGGCAGTTTGGTCATGAGGAGGGGATCACTTTGGAGAAAGGTAATTAATGCCAAATATGGTAATGAAACAAAGAATCGGAAAATATATAGCCTAAGAAGACATTCAAGGATAAATGTATGGCATGGTAGTTCATCAGTGTCAAATTTATTTTGGGAAGCGATTCCGATAAAAATGGGAGGGCGGATCAGACATTTTTGGTGTGATTGATGGTGTGCAGGCACATTTTTCCAAGAGAAGTTTCCTAATCTTCAACCAATAGCCCAAGCACAAAAGGTTAGAGTTAGTGAATATGAGCGAGCCAGTCAAAGGGTTTAGTGGGCCCCAATCTTTTGAAGTAACTGGGATGATTTAGAAATGAGGAATATCTGCACTCCTGGACTATATGAACTCAAGTACCCAGCCATGACCATGACAATTATGTGGCGATATGACCTAGAGGGGATTTTTAGTGTGATCATATGCCCACTCCACCCTCTCCAAAGGATTGTTCTTATGGGAAATTACCACCCCACCTTGAGGGTTGTGATTCAAATGGTTGGTAGTCTTAGACAAAGCTCCTATGGGAGATCACCTGAAGTACTGATG